TCATAGAGGCTCATTCCATTGCAGTCAGTGACAAAAGGTATCATGGTCTTTAGCAGGGGCAATCCTTGAGTTTGCCATGTATGCTGTCCCAGATTGACCCTGATCAGGCTCCTTAAGCTCACCTCCCTCTGACTGCCTGTCTGCCTGCAGCTCTCAGAGTGCATGACAGTTCACAGAATTCTCTGTGTACATTGCACACAGGGTCCATCCCTACCCATGGCCTGCCTGTTCCAGCCTGACGCTTGACATCCAGCACCTGTCAGAGTCTGCTTAAACACATAATAACAGCTCTGGATGCAGGTTATTTGCATTCTGTTGGTGATGTTAGCATGACTGATTTTTGTTGCAGCATCCATAATTCTGTAGAAATGCTCAATTATTCAGTCTCAGCCAGTTAAGACACTGCCCATTAAATCAGCCAACACAATTGTAGGGCCATGAAAAGTCACAGCTAATTTGAAATTTTATTAGCTCTCAGCTGATCTTGTTTACTGCAGAAGCAGTGTCTCAAAATCAGCCCTTTGCTTCTGTACAAAGCTCTAATCCTTGACACCTTTTGGATGCTGCATGGCAGTGAGGGAGGAACTTGGACGCTGACTGCACAGGACACAAAGTTGAGAAATGATCCCACTGCCGTGGGATCTGTGAGCACTTTGCAGCCAGCAAGTGCAGAAACAACTCAAGGAGAGTAGGGACAGCAAGTAGCTCCATTTCTACTGAAGAGTAATTATTTTTCAAAATTTCTGTTTGGTTTGGGTGGATGTATTTTTTGCATGCATCATATAGACAAACGTCTTAAAGGACATGATTTTCAGAAAGTGATGGGTCATGAGCAGTGTTTGAAAGCCAAGTAATTTTAGCTCCTCTTAAATTTAGTATCCAGGTGACTATTTGTGGAAGACGGTTATGATATGGAGTATCTCATGAAATTCCTGAGTGAGGTCAGCATTTCCATCTGTTGTCATTATCTAGTGTCACTGTCTTGGTAGTCATAGCGAGTGCTTAAAGTCACTTAAAATCAGGTTCTTCAGCTGGTATTATGCAAATGTTACACTCATTAGGCCAAGGTCCTGATCCAAGAAGACACAGATACTTTTAGTGTTCAGTCCCTTCCATGAAGCTATGCACCCATGGAGAAAAAGCTGAACATACATTGCTGATACAAAATTTTAATGAGAATTGTGGTTATTTCATTGGGTTGTGCTGACATTTCCGAGCCCTTTGAGACAGGAACAGATGTTTGGTGAAGCAAAAATAAAAAAGTCTCTGCTCCCAGGGAGTTTGCAGTCTAAAGTAGTAGTTTGAAGAGCTCACTAATGGGATTTGTGGATTTGCAGTCTTTAAGGGCATCAGAGCCTCATTTAAAAAAAAAAAAATTGCAACTCCACCCACAAGATATGAGCTAGATGAGTCATCCCAAAATAAAACTCATTGTCTAGTGATATACAGAGTGTAGATTACCTGATAAAAATGGTCTTGGTCCCCATTGTATTTTTACAATGTTGGTTGAATAAATTGGAGCTGCTTTATCCTCAATGGCAGAAAAGAAAGTATTTCTGCTGAGTCCAGTTTATTCTCTTTCATGTTCCTCTCTGAAGGGAATGAACCAGGGCTCACAAGATTACCTGCAGAGGTGCCATCCACTCTGCTTTATTCTCTGATTACTTGAATCTTAGTGAAAGATGCAAACCACTGAACACATTATTTACCAGATGTGACAATGTCTTGCCAATGGCTCCCTTTTCACAACAACAGTGGTTTGATTCACCCCATGGTAACTCTAAGATTGCAAAAAGGTATTTATTTCAGGCTTCATGCAAAGGAAGTGGGACAAAAGAGTTTATGTTTGGTTTTAGCAGAACTGTCACAGGATATGTGTGTGTGTGTGTATATAGAATGCATAAGTGGTCTCAAAGATGTAAAAATTCCTATTGCATGGCAATAAGAAGGAACACAAGAGATGTCTTAAAATCTCTGTGGCTTTGCTGCTGCTAAACTTGGGATGCAGAGGGCATTGACCCCATGTTCACCTCCCTCTGTTACCTGTCTGAAAAATTTGCAGTGATTTCTAATGAAAGTTCACCCTTGTGCTTTATGGATTTCATAGGTGTTTTGTATTACAGCTTCATATTGTTTTTGTTGAATTGGACAGTTAATGCCAGAGTCATGGGTCAGGAAGCTTCTTGGAAATGTCACTTCATCCTCACTCTTCTGATGGAACTAGTGAGATACCAGGGCACGAGACATCATAGCTGCATACACTGTCATTATATCTCCTGACAAGTCACTGTAGGGCACCACTTGGATCACTTTTGGACTATACTTTTAAAAAATCCCAAAAAAACAGTATGCACATGGAAACATCACTGCTTATGGTCTGGTTTGTAGATTAACTCTTGCTGTTCTGCGTGACTCAGACAGAAATAGCCATTACATTTTCCTAAGCTAAAGAAATACTTTATCTACTCAACTGAGGGAGTTGAGTAGCTAAATGTCATTTCAGCCCTTAAGTGCCTTCATGAATTTAGGATGTCAGTGACAAACCTTTCTGGTGTAGTTTTCCTCAATTTATTACATATAGGTCCAAAACACATTAGTTGAAAGGCTTATCTGCAGATGAGTCCTCATCATTCTCACCTGTTCAAAACATTGTCCTCTGCATCTATTCTTCAAACATTTATCTACAGTTTCTTGCAAAGACAACATTTTCTTGCTGTCTTGCAGCTTCAGGCCCCAAAACACATTTCTGATGACTAGAAAAAAGACAGGTTAATGAAGAGGTATGGTACAGCTGGTTTGCCATCCTTTCAGCAAAGTGTCTGTAGCCTTGGAAAACATTATTAATGTGCTTGAGAAAAAGACAACATTTTATCTTGCTTGAAACTGTAGTCAATATAGTAACAAGGCTGGTTTGTTGTTTGCTTTTCTTTTCTTTTTTTTTTCTTTTTTTTTTAGTAGGTAGCTGTGACTAAACCTGTTGCATCTATGCCGATCTGTATTCTGTGAATGGTCTCTCAAACTCCATCTGAGATTTGACCTTCCAGAGTCCTACTGATCTAATCATATGCAGCAAGCAATTTTTTTAATGGGCAAAGAAATTCTAATTAGTTCTTTTTCATTATCACTAGTCATCAAGACAAAAGGCCAGTGGGTAGGTTTAGTGTCCAAGATGAACATTTTTTGTGGTGATTTTATAAGGAGTTCTAAAGATGCAGAGATGTTAGGACAGATAGAGGTAAGGGTAACAGATGGGATTTTCCAAGGCACTTTTGCTGGCCTAACAGGGCTCCAATTATCATTAATGGCAAGTGCAGAGCACTTGTGGAAATGACCCAGTGTGTGTGTGTTTGTGTGTACATGTACACAGAGCAGGTGCTCATTGTCTTTGACCTACTTGGACGCAGGAAGCTCTGGGAACCCCTACCAGGCTTGTTCAGCCTTCTGTGTGTGAGTAGCCACATGAAATGATGATGTCAGTGATGTTTTTAACACTAAACTATTCCAAGATTGGAACAGGTATAACTCAACAGAATCCAAGTCCGTGATGTGTGAGCCATCTTAAGTAGTAGAACAATGAAAGATCAGATTTCATCCTATTTATATTGCAGTAAATATAGAGTAATATAAAGGACTTCTAATTCTTACTGGTAAAACTGGGACAAAACTGAAGCTCACAAACAGTAGTAATGAGAAAATGTCTTGTTTTAATTTACTGTTTCTTTGGGATAAAAAATCCATTATCCTGAAAACTAAAGATTTCATCCCACTTCAGGAGGGCTCTACCTCTCAGGACAGTGGCACTCTTCAGGCACATTCATTTCTTACCTCTTTCTCTGCTGGAATTGTTAGTAGGATGCTTGCTGTAAAGGTGGTGTCTGTGATATATGGAGCTCCCAGCAGCTACACAGAGACCAGCCACTCATTTCACATAGGTCTGTGAACAGCCATCACATGGTAGTAATTTTCATTCACTGTCAAACTGTCTTGCTTGAACTGATGAGTTGGAAGTGAAGGGCTCCATATCCCATTACCCCAGAACAAAAACATCCAGTTCCCTTATCTGATTTAAAGATCTGTCTCTACTACATGCTAACAACTTTTATTGCTAAGTGTGATGCTTCATCAAACCTCTTCTGAGCTTTTTTTGGTATTTCTTTTCCTGTCACTGCCTTTTACTGTGCTGTTTGCAATGAGCAGTGGCATCTCCAAATGAATGGGGCATGTTGCTATGGCAGTGGGAGGTAAAGTGGTACTGTCTGCATTTGATGGTTTGACAGACATGCAGACCCTCATTTTACTGGAGTATGCTCAGCAAGCCTTTTCATGAATGTCCACTGCTATTATTGTTGTTACTATTAATTTAATGGTGCTGAAAGTGAAAGATTTATATCCTGAGAGTTTGAGATCATCTGTTACTCTCTGTCAGTATTGAATCAATGAGACCAAAGTGAAAAAAGATAAAACCTTCCCAGCAAAATCTCCCTCACTTTCTACTCTTGTTTTACTAGGTTACATGTATAGATCTCTCTGCAGCCATGGTAGATACCACGGCTTTATTCACTATTTAGTCCTGCTGAAAGCAAACCTGGTAGCTTTGGTGTAATGCAGTGTGTCTATGATTTGCACAAAGAACAGGAACAGGGTACAGAAGTTGTGTATTTTGGCAAAAAAATAAACCATGACAACTTTGAGGGCTTTGGATTTAGTTATCCAAGTGACTGAGTTGTGAATTGGCCCATCCTAGGATTAATATAAAATATGCTTTTTTGGGGGCCCAATCTAATATATGAGTTTTCATATATTACATACTACTGCATATTTATGTTATGTATTATTGTGTATTTTAGGTTCCTTATTGTGACTTTAAGTGAACATGTCTTACTCAATGTAGATGAAAATCCGCATTTCTCTATTGTGTGCATTGGAAGGAGTTCTTGCACCCTGAAGTCTGTAGCACTCCATGTTTCCATTGCTCTAAAATTTTCCTTACCCTTCTGTAGATGGCCTGGTGGATTGCATGGACCCAGACTGCTGCCTGCAGCCACTGTGCCACGTTAATGCGCTGTGCCTGGGCTCCCCGGACCCCCTGGATATCATCCAGGAGACGCAAGCCCCCGTCTCCCAGCAGAGCTTGCATTCCTTCTATGATCGAATCAAGTTCCTGATTGGCAAGGACAGCACTCACGTCATCCCAGGGGACAATCCTTTTGAAGGCGGGTAAGTAAATTTTGGAGTTGATTCAGTAAGTGGTAAAGCATATTGGCCATTTTAAGACATGGAATCACAGCAAAATGCAGAATAATGAAAAATTGTTTAAGTAGATACCTGAAGAATTTTCTGGGTGATGTAGTTCTGCTGACTATCTCTTTCCCTACAGTTTCCTGCCAGCCAGTAAGGCAAGATGCTTCTCTCCCAGCACATACAAGCAGTTGCATGTTTCCTCACTTTCCTTATTTCAAGGAGTGAAAGGCATCCATTCAGCTCTTCTAGATGAAGTGACTGGCATTGTGCACAAGTATCACCCAAAGAGCAGTGACAGATCTTCCTTTGACAGAGACAAAAGATAAGGAAACTAGAATGCTATTTGCAATCTATTGTGTGAATATTAGAGACTTTAAAAGAACTGAGGGAAATCATACCATCTAAGGAGGGCTGTTAGAGTGATTTGCAGTATAAGCAATCAGGTTGAATATAGATTGGTTTTAAAATCAAGAAATTCTTTATCGCTGCAATCATCATCAAGAAACTGGAACCGGGAGACAAAACATAGAAGTTCACTTCTCTGACTGCATCTCAGCAATTTGGTTTAAGTATATTCCTGTCTGTCAGGGCTGGTCATCCCTGAAAATAATTTCTTGTAGCAGGGTAACTGGGATGTCAAATTCCTAGATCATTCAGTGTCTGCCCTGAATGCTGCCTTTCAGAAATAGTGATCCTGATCCTGGAGGTGGCTCTCAACACGTAAGTTTGAACTCTGTTGAGCTTCACCCAGTCATGAACTGCTTACTTTCAGTTTTCCCACACACAGCAGTTAATAGGTTGGCACTGAAAATACACAACACTCATGTTTGTGTGGGTATTTATTTCAGCATTTACATCTCAACTGGCCTCTCAGACCCCTCTAGCTCTGATCTAATGCTTTTCATGGAGGGACACTGCCAGCATCTCTTAGGTACCAGCTCCCATATATCACCTTTTTTGGTAGTCTACAGGCTGATGTCATCATCACAGCAATGTCAGGAAATTGCCCTGATATGATATTTTCCATGATACTTCTTGCTTCTAAGGTCTTCACGGTCCAAGAAAGCTGACAACAGTGACTCGGACTATAACCAAACACTTTTATGTTGCAAATTGTTGTCCTTCATTGGCATTCTGAAGATCACAGGTACTGGATACTGACCAGTCTGTATTCTGGACTAGTTGTTGTGATTTGTTGCTGTAAAATCAGGCTTCAGAATATGAAATAGATTATGCTCACCATTGCATTTTTCTGATATATTTAGGGTAGCAATTCCTCAGCATTTCCACAGAGGACTCTGTTATCAGGTCCATATGTATCCTTTCTGACAGGCAAGAGAGTTTTGGTACACACACATCTGTGTTCAGTGAACTTTCCATGCAACTAATGAACTATAGGAATCTTCATATTTGTGCAATAAAAAATAAAATTGTAGCTTCTTTTGAAGGGCTGCTTGCATTCAACAGCATACAGAGCTGGGGGAAAATAGTGGAAATTTCTAATTACATGGTAAATTTGTCTCTCAGAGTGCCAGCAGAGGACCAACAGAAAGAATATGTCATTTAGCATCACATAAATTCCTACAGGAGTTACATGTGTTTCATAGGTCTGATGATAGATCTCTATGTAGGAAGGATCTACTAACCATCTGTAGATGTCCTGCTAAGGAGAGATTCAGAATTCAAAAGGAGCACCTGCTAGCATAAATGTTTGTCTGGTATGTAGGTTAGTGGAGTGAGGGAATGCAAAGATTAAGATCGATAGGAAGGGTTTTAATGACTTCTTTTGATTAAATGCAGTGGAAGTAATAAAACTTGTTCTGTGTAAGTTAGGATGAAGAATTATACAGAGGTAGTGATGATTTATGAGGTTTCCATTCTCAAATTATCGGCATAGAGTGTGTGCCGCTAAGTATGGTCTACAGATACATTACCTCAGCTGTGGTTGTATTGCATCTCTCAGGCTAAGTATCTTGATTCACAAGAGTGATTGCAAGTAACATTGAAGAACCTCAACAGAAGGTATATTTTCCCCTGAGACAGCACCCGGTCCAGGCTCATGAGAGTGTTGGGCTGTTGAAATTGCCACTACTCTGTTGGGATTTTAAAAGACATCACATGTTCCTGTTAGTTCTTAAAGATCCTACAGATCTGGATAAACTCAACCATTGCAAAGGTTTTCTGCTAATTTGGCTTCTCTCTGTATTTCAATTGCCTGTATCACCTCCCAGAAAGCTGGACCTTTGAACAGCTCCTCTAGTCACCCTGGAAATGACAGTGCTTCAGCAGTAGTCAGTGACTGGCATGTGGGGAAGCATGGTCTGGGACCATCTGGGATCCGTTTAGTCTGGACAGGCAGGACTGCCTGTATTTGCATGTGTGGATGTGCCCTTTATTCAGTAGCATTGTCACTGAAACTCCACCAGTTACTTTTACAACAGACAGGTGATAATATCCCTGTTATCCATGGAGCTGTTCTGTATCTCTATAAAAATCACAGCAGCCACTGGGGGCAAGATGAGCTGCTTTCATCAGTCCTTCCATCTGCTGGCTTAATATTGTCTGACAAGAGGGAGTTATTCTTATGGAGGGCTCCAGCATCCTGCTTTAGGACAACCCTCTCCCATTGCTGCTGAGATGATTCATGAAGTGGTCTCCTTCTTGGTGAAGATCAGGACTGTAGGCTGCTGTTCACGGAACTTCCTATATCTTTCTGTCCCAGTTCCATTATTTTCATGGGGTAGGGTTGAGTTGGATCTGTATCATTTGCTGTGAGCAGTCCCCCATGAGCAGGCAACACAGAGGTGGCATGGATCTCTGTGTCCTGTGTGCCTGGTGTCCTGCCTGGGCACCAGTGGCACAGGCACACTCACCATTCACGTCAGGAGCTGAGTGCTCCTCCGGGCTTCACTAGGTGATGGCTGACTGATATCACCTTGAGGGAACTTGTACACGTTTGCATCCCTGTCTGGCCTGTGCAGAAGTGGCAGCAGTGTGAAGGAGGTGACTGAATATCTCTGCAATATATTTCCGAAGCTTCAAAACCACAGCTTAGCCACTTTTCAGAGAGAACAGCAGTGCAGATCACCTAATGGATACAAATAAATGAATGTCTCGTGACAGCAAGCCTTTGAGTGAATTTATTATTGAATTACACTCTGGCTTTTTAAGAACAAGCTGAGCTGACAAGCTCTCTACCAGTGCAGAAGAAAAAGAAAGACAATGATAAATTGCCCTGATGGATAAAGGCAAAGACCTTGTCTCTTCCCAAATACCAGCAAGTATATATTATTCATGTTTGGGAAGAAAAAATAATCATTACCCATATTGAAATGAGTGTTTATGATGATAAAGCAAGTAGCTAAATTAAATTTTGAATACACAGAATGTTTTTTCACATCATTTTGATGAACAGATAACAAGTACTCCTCTACTACTTGGTCATTCTTGTATTGATTTTGAAACCACTTACTCTTACGGTTAGCTTTGTTGGTTTTAAGCCATTCTTAGTTGTCCATCACCATAAGGAGTAGCACAAAATGCAGTGGTGTCAATAAGTTGACTATAAAGTAGGGCACCTGATATATTTGCTCTCTTTTGAGGTACAGGTTCATAAAATGGCAAAAACAGGCTGGTCCGCAGTCTTTTATGCTAAGTGCTGGTATGGTTAAAGTGCCTCAGAAAACCACATGTAGAATTGGCACTTTTGTAAAGAGAATTTCAAGTCATTCAGTTTTGAAGTAAGTATGTTTTATACCCCTTCTTTTTTGAGACAGATTGTGTACATCTACCTGCTGCCAATAGTATCAACCTGTTCTGATTACTTGGGTAGCTAGAAATAGCCATCTGAGTTATATGAAACATCAGAAAGCAGCATTTGTTATTAGCTGCAAGAGTAGTGATTGCCCTCAGGTCAGTAGCCTGCGTACAAAGTTGGTTTTGATGATTTAAAATTCTGATCAGAATTAACTTTGTACTTTTTTTCCCATTACTGAGTGACAAGGTATCTGTAAACATGTCACTCAACCTTCCTGTGTCCCCTCTGTGTGCCAGGCAGTACAGTGTACTTTACTGATCCAGGTGGAGAGGGTTACACAGCACAGTTAGAAACTCAGAGAGACGGGTATGTTATAAATGCCTGTGTGCACTGCTTTACTGTGAATAAATAAATAAAGAAATGGGGTTTATTGTCAGAGTTAAATTGCATTCATCCCAAGTCCCATCAAAAACAAAACTGAATATTGATCATGGCCAAAGAAAAGCTAGGAAAATAGGGGCGGGGGGGGGGCGGGGAGTCAGAATATTTTTTCAGAATGTTTTGTTAGTCCTTCTGGTCAGTCCTAAGTGATTTTGAAGAAAGTTGCTATGTTTTCTTAGTATCCTTGGGGGAGTTTACCCTGCCCTATCTCTGGAAGTATTCATGGTCAGGTTGGATGGGGCTCTGAACAATCTGATATAGTGGTAGGTGTCCGTTCCCATGGGAGGACATTGGAGCTGGATGATCTTTAATGTCACCAACCATTCTCTGATTCTGTGCATATGTTCAAAGAGTGTTCTCTTTTCTTTTCACACATTTCATCCCATTCATGGAAGGCTGTGGGTTCACCGTAGCAGATCTTTCTGAGGTTTCTTCCCAAGGAAACCAAGGTGCTCTGTCTTTTCTGTCTTTTTCCATCAAGAAAAGTGTAACTTTGACACAGTGACCTAAGAAACACTTCTTTAGTTGAAGACAAAGTTAGAGGTCAAAGAACGAAAACTTACTAGGTGTAGCTTTAATCTGATGATTTCTCCTGAGCTGGCTAGTTCAGCCCATGGCTCTGGTCCAGCTCCAGGCAGATGCAGTTCTCTTCAGCAGCAGGAAATTCTCTGGGTCAGATGCACCCACTGAATGCAGACACCCAGAAGCAATACAGGAGCTTAGGGAGCACAGCAGCTCCATGGGTTAGGACAGATTGGGATGCTACATCTGTTTAAAA